ATCAACATCATTAAAATGTCCATACTGCCAAAAACAATCTACATATTCAATGCAATTTCTATTAAAACAGATCTAGAACAAATATTCCAAAGTTATGTGGAACCAAAAAAAGACCCACAATAGCCACAGCAATCCTAAGAAGAACAAAGTTGGAGGGATCACAATACCAGATATAATGTTATACTACCAAGCCACCATAATCAAAACTTCCTGGTACTGGCACAAGAGCAGACATATAGACCAATGGAACAGAACAGAGAACCCAGAAATAGACCCAAGCCATTACACTCAATTAATATTTGACAAAGAAGGCAAGAACACACAGTGGAATCAAGACAGTCTCTTCAGTAAGTGGTGTTGGGAAAATTGGACAGATACATGCAAAGAAAATGAAACTTAGACCACCAACTTACACCATGAACAAGAATAAACTCAAAATGGATAAAAAACTTTCATGTAAGTTGGGATACCATAAAAGTCCTAGAAGAAACCATAGGCAGCAAAATCTGACATCTCTCATGGCAGTATGTTTACGGATACATCTCCTAGGGCAGAGGAAACTAAGGAGAAAATAAACAAATGGGACTACATCAAAATAAAAAGCTCCTGCACAGCTAAAGAAACCATTAACAAAATGAAAAAGGAGCCCGCTGTATGAGAGAACATACTGGTATTTGGCAATGATACATTTAATGAAGGGTTAATATCTAAAATATATAAGAAACTCATACAACTTAACAAAAGGAAGACAAACAATCCAATTTAAAAATGGGCAAAGAACCTAAATAGACACTTCTCCAAAGCGGACATACGGACAGCCAAGAGACATATGAAAAAATGCTCAAAGTCATTGATCATCAGAGAGATGCAAGTTAAAATGACAATGAGTTATCACCTCACCCTTTCAGAATGGCTACCATCAACAAATCAACAAAACAAATGACAAGTGCTAGTGAGGATGTGGAGAGAAGGAAACCCTAGTACACAGATGGTGGGAATGCAGACTGGTGCAGCCATTATGGAAAACAGTATGGAGTTTCCTAAAGAATTTAAAAATAGAGTTGCAAGTTGACCCAATGATTCCGCTTCTGGGAATATATCCTAAGAAACCATAAACACCAATCAGAAAGAATGTTTGCACCCCCGTGTTCATAGCAGCACTATTTACAATAGCTAAGATCTGGAAACAGCCCAAGTGCCCATCAGCAGATGAGTGGATAAAAAAAATGCTGTGGTACATTTACCCCATGGAATACTATAGTAAAAAGAACATCTCTTATCCTTTGAGACAGCATGGAAGGACCTGGAGACTATTATGCTAAGCAAAATAAGCCAGTCAAAGAAAGACAAGTATCAATATGATCTCACTCGTATGTACAATCTAATGAATAAAATAAGCTGATGAACAAAAGAGATCCAGACATACAGAAGCATAAAACAGCCTGTGGAATCTCAGAGGGAAGGCGGGGGAAGGTGGATGGGTGGGAAGATAACAGCCAAAGAACTTGTATGCATATATGCATAATCCATGGACACAGACAATAGGGTGGTGAAGGCCTGGGATGGGGGGCAGGGGCAGGGGCAGGCTAGAAGAGGTCAATGGGGAGAAAAATGGGACATAGGTAATACTTTCAACAATAAAGATTTAGTTTTTTAAAAAATAGCCTAGAAAGAAATGGGTGAAGGTTCATTTCTTAATTGATTTAAATTCATAGTTTGAGAATTTGTCTACATTTAATTTTTTTAACTTTTCTTTTTATTTGCTTTCCACATGAGGATTGGTAAAAATGACTCTGAAAGGTAGGTTTTTTAATGTGCTCAGTCTCAGTACTATTACCAATTTATAATTGGTAGAAATGTAGGTCTTTAAATAATTTTAATGCTTTAAAATGTATAAAGAGAAAAGAGACAACATATATATATTTAAGTAGCTTTTTAAGAATTACGTACTTGAAAAAGCTGCCATAAACTATCAATAATACAGTAAGTTATGAATAAAAATTTTCATGAAGAATGAGGGTAGTTAGAATATGTATATATTAAGTAAGCTGGTGTCCTTTGGGAGAAAAAAATGATCCAAATTGTAATAATAATGTTAATTCTTGCATATCTGATTCTTACATGAGTCTTACATGATCTGAGAAAAAACATAACATTAGGAGTTAATAAAATAAAAAGAATTTCAGTTACTATTTAACAAATACCTAGTATATATTTTATAACAAAAACATGGCATCTGTTTTTTAGGTTGTTTTGAAAAATCCAGTAGACACACATCTAAATTCATATTTGCCATCTTTTTAGCTTCAGAAGATCATAAGTAAAGAGGATGACTTGAAGACAATAACTAATGAAATAAAATGCCAGGTATGTACAGATAATGTAAACATTTCAAAACAGATTGGCATTATATTAGTTTCTCTATTCTGTTTGTTCAACTAAGTATTCACAAATACTTGGAAAAATTATTAGTAATTTATTTTTTCTAAATATTTAAGTAGAGACCAGAACTTGGCTGGAGATCCTGGCTAGAGATCCTGGCTAGGCTGCTGATCAACTGAACGCTGTCTCCGTGTCATTCCTTCTTCACCGACTCCGTCCACACCTTTGGGGACCCCTGGACCTGCTGGGGTTGGACCCCAGCAGGATGGGACAGAGGAGGAGGGAGGGGACAGTGGCTGATGGTACAGAGGAGGGAGGGGCAGAGGCTGATGATACAGAGGAGGGAGGGACAGAAGCTGATGGGACAGAGGAGGGAGGAGACAGAGGCTGATGGGACAGAGGAAGGAGAAGACAGAGGCTGATGGGACAGAGGTAGAGTGAGGGGACACAGGCTGATGGGATAGAGGAGGAGGGAGGGGACAAGGCTGATGGGACAGAGGAGGGATGGGACAGAGGAGGAGGGAGGGGACAGAGGCTGATGGGACAGAGAAGGGAGGGGACAGAGGCTGGTGGGGCAGAGGAGGGAGG